AGAATTTTTTTGTGAAAACATTGACTTTGGTTTAATGAGTTCTGACTGTATTATATATATTTATTAATTATTATTACTATTCTTTTATTAAAAAAATTAATGAAAATTTTTTTTTCAGAGGATGATGCAACATTAAATGCAAGGTATTCAATTTCTATTGCAAGAAAAATTGGAGCTACTATTTTCCTATTACCAGAATATATTGTTGAAGTTAGACCTCGTTTTGTAATTCATAATTTATATTATCGATATTTGATTTTTAATAATAAATAATAATAGTAGTAATAATTTTATTTTTCTATATAGATTCTCACATTCATTGGTAGTCTAATGGCTTTAGATAATAATCCAACAGTCATTAAATAGATGCTTTATTTATTACATTTTTGTTTTTTACTTGTTTAATATATTTATGTTATTATCTTTTAATGTATAAATAAATTATATTTTGAAAATATTGCATATTTTATATATCTCTTACATTGAACCTATACTGATACTAAGTACAAGTCCTACGTAGACAGCTTGTCGCGAACGACTCTTGTTGTTTTTCTGTAATATGCTTCAAAAGTATATTAATGATGGATTTGCAAAATGTACAAGATTGACTTGATGACTCCACAACGTTCACATGTTTTGTTAGTGTATTCCTCAGTGCAAATAACGACCTCGCGCTAAGGGTACTCGCGAATTTGTGGAGCAGATGTTGGTGAAAACGGAATAGATTTTTCCAGAACCGAGTTTTTAATCATGTCTTTTGTTCTACATGGTGGTTTTCGCATAACCAACCATCTTGCTAATCTTCGATGACATTAACTCACAAGACTATTACAAATTTTCTTGTGAATCCGGAGCATGCACCGACGGAGTTTATACCTCCTATGCTTATTCGCTTTGCCATGAATTGAATCCCTTTCACCTCGGATTCTATCATAATGCAAGCACAATTGATATATTCTACTAATACCCCATTCTGTAACCTCACCACTTGAGTTATAGCTTGTCATGAAGGTTTTCACTACTGGATCAAGAGAAATGATGCTAGTGCCTCTATTATTCTCTTCAACCGCTGAAAATCTAGGACCTTGGTTATCAGCATGGTTTGGGAATACACAAATAGGATTCGCCAAGACAATTCAGTGAGACAAAGGTCATTATTTATTTCAGCTATTTCTCACTTGCATCAATATCTTTGAGAAATGAATAATGGTTTCTTCCTCATTCTCTTGATAGAATGCAATTTATTCTTTTTAGATCTGAATTTTTAAAGCAATATAATTTTTAAAAAGTCCATCATTGCTACATCCCTAATGTAATAATGCATGTCAAGACTAGTATGATGCCAATCATCTAAACACATCAAATGTTGCGTCAATTGGTGAAATTTTCTATGAAAATCATTCCTTTTATGGAACGCGATTTTTAACTCAAATCTATTTCTTTATTTTTTTTTTTGTTAAAATGCCTAAACAGAATAAAAGAAATTAGCATTTACAAAAGCTTGTGAAACTAAAAAAATGAAAGAAACTATTAAACCCATTACAGATGAATATATTGATAAGGAGGTGTTTGAAAATGAATCTCATATTGACACAAACATTTTGAATGAATTAGATGTAAATGAACCTGGATTAGAAATCGAAGAGTCAATCTATGAATACATTGAACCAGATGATGACTGGAGAGATTTATATTTAACTGCAGAATTAGAATCTTGGAAGATTTACAACAAACTATGCCATTCGCTCTTAATTCTATTTCTCTGTAAAATTCATAAATTTGCAAGAAGATATTATAAGTTTATGAGTGTCTATAGGATGGGCTTTCTGGTCTTACTGGTAAAGCTACTATTTTTGCAGTTAAAAAGTATCACACTCATAGAAGAGTTCCCAAATCTGTTTTATTGGAATTTCACAAGTCACAAGTATCAGATGATACTTCTTTATATCATGAAAATATTCTTTAAATAGAGTAATGATCAATGGTGAAATTTTTTTTTTTAATAGTAAAACTTTAAGCCATTATAACTTTTTTCATTTTAATAAAATTTAAAAAACCTCTATTGCATTTTTCCTTATGTCTTATAGAATAAAACTATAGAGAGTTTTTTTTATCTTGATGGTCATTGAGCTTATACATTTTAAAGTTTAGCCAAAATTTTTGATGTCTTTAGATGATCAGCACCATACAAATACTGGAAATTCTAGACAAGGAGGTAAACCTAGAGATCCAGTATGGAATTATTTTACTGCAACAGAAATTCCACATGATTCTCACCTGTCAGCACAAAGTAAATTTTGCTTCAAGTCATGGAAATGTGGTAAACCTTCTGACTTGAAAGGGCATTTGGCTCTGAAATGCTCATTGGTTAATAGAGAAGTAAAATTAAAATAATTAAATCAGATGATAATATAAAATCTGCAAATAAAAGGTAAAGAGGAAATATTGAAAATAATATAGATCATCATTCTTATTTTGGCAGTGATAGAACAGATGCACCAAAAATTTCAAGAGCAAATCAAGGAATGGTTTGTTTTTTGTGTGGAATTCCTTTTAATGTTGAGATTCACCTTTCTTCTATGATTTTACAAAAACTTTATGCAGTGTAAAGATGAGGTTGCAACCCCAAAAAATATTGACATCTAATGCTGCAACTGCTGCAACTGCTGTAAGTCTGCAACTGTCTGTAATTGTCTGCAATCTCTGGTTGGTAACTACTTCAATCACTATAAAACTAAATTTATTTTTATCAAAAAAAATTTTTTAATTAATGATTTTATTTAAAAACAATAAATCACATTTTGCAGTTATGTGATTCCATTTTTGATACTAAGTCAACATAATTATAGTTGCGGTCAGTTGCAGAAAATGTGAAAACAGTTACAGATACCAACTTTAATGCAGTGGTTATGAAACTCCAAAATGTATCATCTTGTCTAATCATCTGTTAGATTTTGAGATTGCCAATATAACCTTAAAGATAGAAAAAGAAGTGTGTAATTCCAAAAATTTATTAATGTAAATTTAATCATTATTTGTGTAATAATAAAAATTATTACAGAATCAATTTTCTTTTAATTGTTCTTATGGTTTTATGATAAATGATAAAAATTTTTATTAATAAGTATATAATACTTTTTGTTAATTCTATTAATGGGATATGGGTTGGGTTGGGTTGGGCATAGGATGGGATAGGATTTTAAGGATTTGAGTATGGCATTATAATATGATAAGAAATCATCTGTGGACACATTCTCCAATTCCAGTTCTTCATAATTGTGGCATGATTGATGTTAAATAGGGTAATACAGAAAACATGTAATGTATGAACCTCTATGTATGTAACGTATGAATTTATTTCCATACATGTATGAAAAA